TAGTAGTAGTAGTTAGTAGTAGTAGTAGTTAAGTAGTAGTTAGTTAACGTAACGTAACGTACGTTACGTTAGGTTAGGTAGTAGTACGTAGTAGTAGTAGTACGTACGTACGTACGTCGTGTGTGTGTGTGTGTGTGTGTGTGAGAGAGAGAGAGAGAGAGAGAGAGAGAGAGTGGATGGGACCGCTTAATGAGTAATCAGAACTGCAGAGAGTGGATATGGTTTTGCTATGAAGCTGATCTCTAGAAAGAGAATATGTTCTCAAGTTTCTAGCCAATCATTGGATTGTATTAAGAAACCGAGTGCACTTGTTTGGTTTTGATAGAATAGTGCCTTTGTGGACTTCAGGTCAATTGGTGCAACATGCATATTATACAAGGGATTTCAGCATGCAGAGCAGATGGCTAGCTGCTGATTTCCAGTGAGGCAAAGCTGTTCTTTGTGATCAGAAAAGTATGAAGAATGTTTGTATTTTCTCCCCTTCCCTCTCAACAATGTATACTTCTCAGTGTGTCTGCCCTCAATAAAGTATACATTTTATCAACAATGGATGTTTGTTAACCATCCCAAGAGAAAGTAGTATGAGATTTCTCTGGCAAAGTTTTTGGGAAATTTGAAGTGCATATTCTTTCTGTTTCCTTCTAAATTTCATAATTGTTTTCCTTTTATTTTTCCATAGATGTCCATATTTTAAGACAAGGCAAATACCCATAAATCTATAACAACTGCATTGCTGTGTCTGTAATTAATAACATACACCCAAAAATGGGGGAATGGACCAATAATTAAGTGGGGAACGCATTTCGTCGTAGTTCATCAAAATGAAGTTTACTGGATCCAATTCCCTCTCATATTTTTATTGTATTTAAAACTCCTTTGAAGTTGTGTAGACTAGTGGATCGGATAACTGTTCGCTGTTTATGGGATTGAACATTCGTGGAGAAAATACTGAAATTTTTGACGTGATAAATGGGTGTCAAACTCTTTTTTCCTGTCCAGCGCTAGAGATCATTCACTATAAAGGTTTGTATAAACTTCAAATGTCAGAAAGTCACAATGCCTCATGCAGTTTTGTGTATCGAGGGGGCTACCTGCATGACTTATGGTAACTGCAAATCAACCCAAATTGATGATTTATTACACTAGTATTTGAATCTTACATGATTTTTGGTCATTTTGATCACGTTTGTGTTTAAATCAAAGCTTGTTTGCTCTGATTTCGTGAAATGTGATAGTTCAATTTTTCAATTTCAAAAGTTTCAAAGGTTTGGAATTCCATATTATCCAAAATCTGGACTCATTACTAGTAAGGTATTTGAAATAGGATTTCTTGAGATGTTTCTAAGTCTCAAGGCGATGTTTTGAGTTGACAAATATGAGTTTTTCCATAGCTGGCCTAGAAGAATAATCATGAAATTTATTCCTAGCAAGAGTTGATTGATCCATCTTCAAAAGGAGTTGATCAAAGAAAGTTTGTACATGTACAAATAAAAAAGAGAAGTATACAATAAAGGATTATCTACAAAGAGACCATTTATCTTTTATACATAGAGATCACAATCAATTCTACCTGTAAATGTATCAAATTGGATGGCTTAGGACAAATCATGATGTCGTACTTGTTTTGTTTTTTGAACTTTGTGTCTATTCAATGACACTTTTAAAACCATCCATTTCGAAAGTTAAGGGACACAAATGATTGTGACTTTGACATACAAAAGATAAATGGTCTCTTTGTAGACAATCCCTATAAAACTATTTATATTTTGTACATGAGGCCACAATCAATCTTAATCATTGGATGCGAAATAACACATCTACACTCGTTCTATTGTTCAAGCTCAAAGTTTATAAGAAATATTTTCCGACATTTCCGACATACACAACTTATCAAATTTTATATTGAATGGATAAAATTGTCACCTCATACCAAAAGTATCATCATTGTTTTAACCTTTTTTCAATTAATTGAGATCGACTACTTGAATCCTCGTTCTTCATTTTGCTCTATTAAAAGCCATATGCTTAGTGAAGCCATAAGTCCCTATATATTTTCGGACAACTTCCAAACACATCCTTTTAAGCCCCCCTTGCCCTTTTTAATCTTTTCACCTGAACTAATGTATATAATCTTAAAATATATAATCTCCTAACATGGCAGACTCATACTTGCAGTCCACATTAGGAGGCATCTGGCGTGGTGCCTATAGCTACAATAAATCAGCACCAGCCATTCGAAGGGACTTAACTGGGATAGGGTAAAATTTTCAGCGGCTATTTTCCCTTCACCCAGAATAAAATGGAGTTGTATAACTACTTAAATGAGCGATCCAAACTGGCCTTACATCTTTCAAAATAGACTAGACAATGACATAAAGGCAAAAGTTTATATAGACCCTAGGCTCTAAACAATAAGATTAGAGCCTACTTCAAAGAATAGGTCGTCTTGATGCCCGAGTATCATCAAATTGATCATCTCAACATCAAGATCCATGGATATAAGAAAAAAATGAATTTCAAGGTTTGGAAATAGGGCATCATGTAACATATTTTTCGATCGACAATTTTTAAAATTTTCAAGTTTTCATAGAACTGATCGACCTACACTATTTTTGAAGCTTCAAATTTTATAACTAAAGATGACAATATAATTTAAAGCCATTACAAAACTTTCTAACATAAAAACTATATTTTTTGACACTATCTGAAGATGGGCTCAAATTTGATTGTTTAGAGCCTTGGCTCTATACAAACTGCACCCTTACATAGATGAAGGTTACCATCTTCAAAATTAATTTCCATTATTTTATAACAATCCCAATTATTTAAATAATATATTTTTCACAAATGTTGGATATAATAGCCATTATTTTGGAAAATCCCCATTTATTAAGAATTAAATAATCATTTATCAAATATTCTCCAATGATTTTTTTTCATTTACTCCCTTATTCACACAAATCTCTTTTTTCGATAATTCCACAGCCCCCATTTTAACATTTTAACTCTGCCTTGTTCCTCTCTTTTTTTTTTCCTTTTTTTTTGTGTGTGTAAAGCAGTGTTTAAAAAAATGCCGAGTCGAACCGGACTCGCCCGGTTAGACTCGGGAATCGCCATGGACGGATCGAGAGAGAACCCGACGATTCTGCACAGTGACTCGCCTATTCACTGTACGGAATCGGCGAGTCCCGTACGGTATTTTTTTTTTTTTTTGTAATCCATGATAGATTTTTTTTGTAATCCATGATCGAATTTGTTTTTTTTTTTTTTGTAATCCATGATCGAATTTTTTGTTTTTTTTTTTTTGTAACCCATGATAGAATTTTTTGTAATCCATGATCGAATTTTTTGTAATCCATGATCGAAATT